GTGATTAAAATGTATATATGTGTGTTGTGTTTTGTATATATCAGTGCTTTTTCAAAATTTATTTCACATCAACAAACACACAACGTAGAGTCCTAGAAGAACAATTTCTTTTAAGCGCCAATTTGGCTAAAATAGTTGTTTTTTTCTGTAGAAGGGTAGATACTGCGCTTCAGCCAAGGTGTTAGTGAACATTGGCAACCACTTGATTAATCTAGTCGTTAACCTGCAAGATCCCTTCAAAAATTATATTTCCAACACATAACAAAAACTCCAAATGTCTACATTCAAGCAGACCTAGCTACTGGTTTCACCTATTTTGACAGTGCTTTAAGAAGTGCTAAAAGGACTTCTTCTCAGCAAGTTCAGTTAAAATTGGTTTAGTAATTTTTTTGGTTGGATATGCATATTAAACCTATTATGTAGAGATGGGGAATTGAACACGTCGTTCTGATCATTTATATATCTATAACTCTATATTTGTATCGATTAGCTTCAGATGTTAGAAATAACCGTTAGGTGAACAAAACTATCATACTATGTGTTGCAATACGTTGCGAGTGAGTATAAAAATCAATCACACGAATATATGGTAAAAATTGTTGTACCAACCTAGGAAAAACATGCGAAAGAAAAGCAGAATCCGATTGTTTGGTTGACTTTTTTCACGTATTCAATATATTAAATTAACTACCTTTAACTGAGTTTATTTATATGTATAAAAATTAAGTGTCCCGAATTCTCCGGAGAAAACTCCCAAACCCTGTAACCGATTTTAATAAAATTTAGCACACTGTGTGCAGTATGATAAAACTTAAAAGCTAGAATAGTTTACTCTCAATTATGTCATAAAAGGTCAAAACAATTCTTAAATAAAACAAGTAAGGAAGGGCTAAGTGCGGGTGTAACCGAACATTTCATAATCTTGAAACATGCAAGAATTAAAGCAGGGAAAATACCTTCAGGTGTTGGCAAAACTTCATAATAAAAAAATGTTGGGAAAGAATTCAACATTCCTTATTCGACGAAATCGTGAATGATTTACAATTAAATTTGGTATTTTATTAAGTTAAATAATAGGTCTAAGTCTATGTCTAGTTTTTATACTCTTGCAACATGATTCTACAGAGTATATTAGTTTTCTTGACCTAACGGTTGTTTTTATCACCTAAAACTAATCGAGATAGATATAGGGTAACATATGTTACGAGTATATATACATGATCAGAATGACGAGTTGAAATCCAGGTGACTGTCTGTCCGCCCGTCCGTGCAAGCTGTAACTTGAGTAAAAATTAAGTTATCTTGATGAAGCTTGACACATTTTGGCAAAAAAGTTAGGACGAGTTCGTAGATTGGCGTTATTCGACACACGAACACAAAACGTCATTAAATGAAAACGTATAAAGTGCCTGAACTAAGCCATAAATTAAAAAACAGAACACAAATTTGGCACAACAAATCACATTAAGTGCCCCTATGGTTTGAAAAGCTTTAAAAAGTGGGAGTGGACCCTTCCCTAATATTAATAGGGCTATATCACCCAAATTTGCACAGGACAAATTTGTTAAACCCTTCTTACGATAGTGCTAAAATGGAGGAAATCGGATTACAACCACCACATTCTATATAATACAACTTCAAATTCCATCTGATACTTTCACATTCCAATATACTAATAAAGTACCAATTATTATAACGGGATAAAACTTTGCACGAATAGTGTCTTTGAAGTGGACCCCAGTGTCTATAGTTTACTTTTCAATGCCTAATAATACCTTATAATAGTATGTCAAAAATAGATAAAATCGGAACAAAACTACCCCCAACCCCCATATACTACATATAATGACTTTCGTTTTTCTAACAAGTTATATGCCGAATATGTTAATGCAATCAGTCCGTCCCTTTCTCTACCACAAATATACCCCATAAAATGATTTTCGCCTTTTCACCTGACTTTAAACTGTTTAGGTTGGTCAAAATGTGATATTTTAATGAAATTAAATAGACAAGTTTGGGAGTTACTATGGATACCGAGCTTAATTTTAGTCTTCATATTGCTACGATGGTCTTGAAAGCAAACGGGGTTCTTCAATTTGTTAAACGTTGGTCTAAAGAAATTAGAGATCCGAATATTACTAAAACACTTTTACCAAATCCATTCCGACAAGTTAGAGTCTGTTAAAAAAAAATTACTTTAATAGTTTACTTTAATATTCCATACACTATTTGTTTATAACTTATAAATCTACCTACTCTTACTATTCGTAGGGAAATGCTGGGCATAACATTCTAGCAAAAATCCTGGATTTAATATTCCGGTTTTTGAGGCAGTTTAGACCCTTACTGTTAAAATATTGTAGATAATTTTGATATTTGAACTAAACGAACCTTTCCGCCGTATATGTCATGAGCTCATTTCTGCACATTTGATTTATCTAACTTACTTTTCCAAATTAGAAAGACTATATCGCTTTCTCTTAATAAATAAAATCGTAACAATTTGTTATAACGTATTCCTAAATCTTAGCTGTCGAAATTTTTATTTCTGTAGCTCAGCAGTTATAGATCTCGACGCTTAAAAAACTCTCTTGCCAACTGTAACTTGGAACAAGGGATCACGGTATTGAGGGACACCAAGGGCCTCCCTAAATGATTTAATGTACATATCTGCAGAAGCTAACTCAACCAAATTTGTTAGGAGGAAGTATGTTAGCACTTTTCTATACGCTGTGAAAATGGTTAAAACCTGATAATAACCATGAAAACTCCCCGTTTATGTTGAAAACTACTAAAACAGCCCTAAATGATCAGATTTAGGTATATCAGCAAACTTGGCTGTATCATAATGAAACCCAGAGAACGTCTTTTTCTACGACTATCGACCGATACTAACCCCAGCCACCATATTACTAATATATTCGATTGATTTTATACCGTATATATGGGTGAATATGTATGATATCTTAGCCAAATTAAGTTTACAATGCACACAATGTAGACAAATTCGCAAAAAAGGATCGTTATTTTTTATTACAATGCAGTGTCTGCTCATAATATTATATTTATAATAATCAGTTCAGTGTTTGCTGTCGTTTATTAACAATAAAAGAAAATCGTATTGCGGTAATTACTTTGCGTAAGTATAGAAAAAGTGAAATTTATGAGCTTCTTAAAAAACTTAATATTTAGATAATGTTGTTTCCCGTTCTATTGATAGTTTTACCTAAGCATACATATATATACCGACCAGATAAATATCAATAATTATTTGAGATGACACTCGGTTAACGGCCATAGAGTATCGTTTTTAAAGATAAAAAAAGTTTTTAATAATCAAAACAATATATACGCAAAAACTTCTATAGATACAAAAAATGTTATTTCAAGGGTTCAACGTGGTCATCATCCACCTGCTATAATGGTTTGATGGGGGGTCTCCTGTAAAGGCGTTACACCTCTAGCTGTGGCTTAAAAGCAATATTCCTGGTTTTAAGGCTGAATTTTCCGTCTGAGTGTCCAGATTTGAATCCATTGAATTACAGTTTGTGATAAGAGTTGCAGATGATGGCCAGTCGAACGCCCCACGGAGACTCTCAAAAATTCTTTGGTTCGAGCAGCGTCGTCAATAGTAATAGAATGTTGCTATTGAATAGGTAACCATTAATTTAAGTTAATAACATACAAATTATGATTATAAAATGAAATCACAAAGTAATTTCATTTTAATATAAGTAGTAAAATTTTGTCAAAACCTGAAGGTATGTCACTGGCTTTGTTCTTTGCAAATTGCGATGAAATCATAATCGAATCAAATTAAACCGCGCTATAAACATGACTTTTGGTCTTAACTCGACTTTGGCATTACTTAGTAGAAAATTTGTTTCTTCCCCTCCTTCTTTCTGCTAATATATATTTGATTATGACCCGAATAGGATTTGAGTTAATATATCACAATAACTTTTCTCAAGTGTCCTAAAGTAGTATCTCCAAATTTTGGAATGTATAAATCAGCATTTATTATGTCATATATTTAAAATCTGAGGTATTTGTGTTTTTACCACGGGGTATTAAGCGCTATTTGTACCCATACAAGTATTTTCATTCTCTGTGAGAACGTTTGAATAACAATACCGCACAGTATTGCCTCGGTAACTAACGCTTCTTTTACTAAAAATAACAAAATGGCTTAATCAATGTACTGTATAAGATTATATCATTTGCATTAGAAATTAATCATATTTTAAGGAGGAAGTATACTTAGTTTGTTCAAAATATTTTTGTTTTGATGAAACAAATCTATTTTTAAAAACCAATGGTATACTTGTATTATAGTTTGATATTTCAATAATATTCTGTTAAACTTTTATGGGAAAAAATATTAAGCAATACAGCAATGGCAACGATCATTTGAAATCAAAAAATTTAAATTATATCGTTTGATAATCGCATTACCCTGGTAACGCGGGGGGTTTTTCGAAATTTCACTTTTTCACTTTTTGGACGAGCACCGACTTTGAAAACGTAAGTTTTGGGAAACAAGCTTTAAAGTTTGGAAATCGGATGTAAAACGTTTATAAGACAGGTATACAAATATTCATAACGACGTAGAATCGACTTGAAATTTAGACACAACATTTTTGAGATATTATGCATTAATATAAGACAAAAAAACAAAAGCACAGAAAGCAAATTTTAAAATGATACTGCCTCCTTACAACAAATTAATTATGAACAGCAGGATAAGTACAAATATGTTGTTTATAATGTAGATTTAAAAAGTTTGACCTTAGAGCCCAGTTACCTCTGTACATCTTAAGTTCGAGTAGTGTAAGGTATAGCAGAGAGTTAAAACTGAGCAGTAAAAGCTATTTGACAGACATATCAACCGCTACACACATAGCAATGCTTATGTGTATATTTTAAAACTATATTGTGCACACATCCAAACCTGCATTTATCGAACATTCTTTTAGGTACGATTATCCATAGCTGTGAATACTCGTATTTGCACACGCAAACGTTCATATATGTCATTGCAACAAATCTACGGTGTACTCCGGAGTTACGAGTAGAAAGACGATGGTCAATTCGTAAATTTGGTTTAGTTAAATTCAATCCACTTGCGCTCGCGGTCGCTTCTGATACATGGAGTCTTCTGCTATTGTTGTCGTTTAGCTGATTTTTCGCGGTTTTAGACACCGTTTTATTTCCACGCTTACTGCGCATGAACAAAGGACTAATAAATGCTTCATATTTTAGACAAATAAACTAATATATTGTAATAAAGTAATATAGAAAAATACGATTTCTTGTTGTATGAGCTATATATGTTTTATACCATACATATCAGTGTAATAGTTCACAGTTGCCCAACGCAGTTTCTTTAGTGTAAATCAAAGCATTGTGCATTTTAAAGTAAGAAAATTTAGAAGGATCTGGTCGTGATATCAGCACACTATTTGCCTTTGCCGGGAAAACTCTTTAACTGGGAGAAGGTAAAATATAAATTTCTTTATATTATTTGAGAAGGATTTGAATAGTGCAAAATGGCTTAAAAATTTTGGTATTCTTAAGATTTTCTGATTAAATCTTTATGCATTTTTGAGACTTATCAAGACTTATATTTGTTTGTGCAAATATTTAAACCAAAACTAGATAATTTTATTTTTCAATATATTATTGTTATGTATATCTCAGAGAATGTATGCATACATTTTTCTCGGTTTGTTTTGATTACCCTTCGCTTCGAATCCCAGTCGTAGCTTCTTTTGAAAATTAACACGACAGGAGCAGTATGTTTCTTAGTTATGTGAAATAATAGGCGGAATATTTGAAATTTAGCTTTGGTATGGCTTTGTGTTGTTACAGAATTTGTTGTGCTACTTGTATATCGAACATTTATAACACCAAAATGATCTCAACATTATGCAGCTCATCATAAAATTACTTTAATACCTACAAACTTTCCGAAAGTGCTTACGATAATGTGAATTTTAACTTCTTTATAAAAAAAATTATGATAATGGTGAGACTGTTCGTTACTAAATTCCGACAAGTTATAATTTTAAAACTATAAAAAAATGTTTCTTTAAAGGGAGCCTCCCAACATTAAATTAGGATGGAAAAGTATCCACCAAATGTTTATATATCATAACAGACTTATTTTTTTTAGTTTTTATCATAAAAACAATCGTTGGTCTTTTAATTTTAATACTTTGTGATTAAATAAAAAAATAATAAATACATAAACTTTTCACAACAAAATAATAATCCGATTATGTTGGCAATATATCGAAATTTTATTTATTTTCGAAAAATAATACATTGTACTTATACACATTGAGTTAACGCGTGTACTTGTATCTCCCGCAGGGTAATGAACTAATTCCGAAACAATTAAAAGTGCCCGTTATTCTCGCTATTCATATCCTAATTATGTATATGCATTAGGTCAAACCAAATATTTTCTTGTCTCTGTCTTATTCAATATATAACTTTGTAAGTACTCTTTTCTACGTTTTTAGCCATTAGTAAATAAAATACTATTTTTTCACTAATATCCACGATTAAAAAATTCGAAACTTTAGGGAATTACAAACATAACTCTCGAGCGACGTCAATATATATCCGGATAATATACATAGATTGTGTAAATTTCGCAATAAATGATAATACTACAATCGAATTCGAAACCAAGTATGAAGGTTTCGAATTCGATCGATATCGCGCCCAAAAGATTTTCCCTTATATTCTATTGATGTTAAATAAAAATTTAATAGCTTTAGCAAAACATCCAAATTTTAATCATGATCTAACATTTGCTTGTTTTTTTTTACATTATTATTACAATTTTTACATAAACTCAATAGAGAAAAAAACATTACCAATTGCTTCCAATTTCGAGACGTAACTATCTTTCCTTTGTTACACATACATATGTACATGTATACCTTATATATCATTTTCTAAATCAATTCATATATACTCGTATGTATATGTATGGCATTTTCTTTAAGCACTGATTAACCAAGCAAACAGTATTCAACAGCATTTTCTTTAGAACCTTTATAGAAAGTTATTTTCTTTGAAATTTGGTATGAAGTGCTCTGTTGCTGCTTTTTTGAATGAACGATAACATATGTTAGTCTACCACAATCAATTTTCACTGAAATTTAAATGTGTTTCACTTGTTAGCGAACTGAAATAATTTTTGCATAACATGATATCAAATGTACACACATACACTACGCGGTACTGCAACCTTTGCTGAAAGAAAATGTAAGGGAATGCTGGTTATTTGTATAAATAAAAATAAATATTTGAGCTATCTTAAAGGTCAAATTAGCAATTTTTAATGTGTCTTTTAAATACCTATGTTTGCCGTGACCAGTTTTGCTAGTATGTATTGTATTATAGTGAGAAATTTTTTTGATGTAAGTATAAAATTAACTCATGAAAATATAAAAATACAAGCTTACACACACGGTGCCCAGATTTCTTTTGGTTGCAATAAAATAATTTTAAATCATACGGCTTATTATTTGAATATCTTTTCACGAAAAGTGCCTTACTAAATTATACTTTCAAAAATATGTTAATACCCAATAAGTATGTATAAGGCTTTGAAAAGCTGTGTAGTTTTTGGCGAATTTTGGCATTCGTATAACATAAAAACCCTTTACTCAGGCTATCTGTAATACGAGAACGTTGATACATATGTACCAAAGTTAAGCAAGTACATATACATATATTATATCAAACTGACTGGTAGAAAAGGGTTTGTCAATTAGAACGGTTTGATACTAAAATATTGTAGATTTGTATTGATTTAACCATCAAGTTGATATTTCAGGCAGGGGGTTTCAGAAAATCGAATAAACAAATATTCTATTAACCTTATTTCAAATCTTAAGTTTTAAAAATCTGTATAGATATAGGAAATATCAAATAATAAAAGATTATAATTTTTGAAAGTAATTTCTCATTTGAGCTAGACCAGCTCAGATAATCTAAATAATATCTTGTATCGAATTCAACTCGATACGTTAGTTGTTGCTTTTATTTTAAAAACCATTTTAATTTTAGAGCTAGTTACTCTAGCATAATGAGTAAATAAAATTACTAGTAATATATTTTTCCAGGTTAATATCGCCCTTATTGAAACCCCCTCTCTTTCTTTACCATTCTGATCCAATATAGAAGCCTTTTAGAGTGAAAACAACAAAAGTGTGCGTGCAACTTGATTCAACTATTTTTTGTCATTGTAAGCGAGTTTGATGACTCGTTTACGAGGACGACTTCCAAATCTGGCTGGATTCTTTTTGCTTTTTCTCACATCACAGCCAACGGCTTTCGTTTTCCGCATTTGCTTGATTGGATTCTGGTTACATGCCGACAGTGCAGGTGCGGTGCTGCTGACTATTGGTTTTATGTTTGCATTTATCATATGGTATATACTACTCACATTAGACGCATACTAATATCTATGTGTGTTATGATACCTTTGCATTTTTTTTCATATGTACATACATACATATACATATATAGCTATACCCAATTATCTGTCTACCCGCACTACACATGTCTCTTAAGGCGATTTAGCTCAATTGATCTTTAATTGGCGGGGTGCAAATTTTTGTGTCATACAAACAAGTAAACATTTCAGCATTTCAAAGTGAATTCTATAAGGAGGCCTTTGGCTTTATTTAGTTCAGATGAGTAGTATTCAGTTACAGAAGGAATACAAAATCTGACTTTTACTGTGGAAATCTAGAATTTCATTAAGTAGCGCAGTGCGTACTCTAAAAATTGGGTCGTGTGAGAAAGAAGACGAGATATATGAAAAGTTTTGATGGAAGCTTAAATGACCAAATGGACATGTGTTTCTAATGGCCTTATACCCTATTAATTTTGGTATTTTCTTGTTTTGTAAAATAATCGAACATCAGCTTTTACCCTTACTTGTAATACAATACCTAATATTTCAATGTACTTATTTCATATTTGTAAATTTCAGTAAACTCAGTTAAACTTTAGACCCATCTATGTTATGATGTCGAAATCGACAAACATTTCTCTTATTTGGTAAATGAAGAACAGAACTTCAGTAGACGGTGTATAGTGATAACCTTTAAAAGTTACTGTTGACCAGACCACCTAAAATTAATCGAGATACATGAACATACATATTATATATATACTAAATGTTCAGGATGGTGAAATGAGATGAAGTGCAAGCAATAACTTGCGTAAAAATTTAAATATATTGATAAATTTATACACAAGTTCCAAGCATTGTCCTGTTCTCAAAATTAATCTAAAACCCATAAAGTGTTATAACTAAGTACAAATTAAGATACGAAACTGTATTTAGGTATACGGGGTTCAAGTAGGGAGGGGCAAATGTAGTTTAAAAGCTTTTAAATATTATATTATAAAATTGTATTTACATTTTCATAAACCACTAAGGCTAGCCTTTCCGCATACTATGTGAAAATGGAAGGAATCGCTTGATAATCACGCTCGCTCATCATATAACGATTATGTTTTTAAAACTGCAATAATCGCGATAAATCACTAGACAAAGCCTCAAAATTAATTAAATTTCACAAAAATTGGCAAAATCAAACCTGAACTTTTCAAACCCCCAAATAATGAATAAGGGAACTCCATAACCGATAAGTTCGACAATCTATGGGATATATTATTGAAATTCAGAGAGAATATCTTCCCGATAGTAAAGAACTTTTGGATCAAAAATGGGATTAAATTAGGTCAATACTTTTCTTAACCTCACATATCTAATATGTATAAAAATCGTCACACTTATAGTTGACTTTACACTGCATATATCGCAAAATATGCAAGTTATCTTAATGAAATAATTTTTTCCTGGCAATAATATGTTATTGTAATTACAAAAATAGGGTAAATACTACCTCTAGCTCCCTACACCTATTACGTATGTATATCAGAACTTCCGGTTTATCTTTATATCGTATATATGTATCATTAAATATGTAAGATATTTTAGAAAATTAAATGAAAATATAATAGTGGGTATGCTATTGTTTAAGGCCGAAAATGTATGAAATATGTACGAATTACCCCAGCTCCTATGTACTACATGCATATAAAGGTTCTTGTTTTTCTACCCGGATTTATGCCAAATATGATGGTCAGTATGTGAGTTAACATTTCTTGAATACATGTTCTTGAGTATACTTGAGTAAATGCAATGAGCCCAGTTTATCTCTTAGCCCTTAGATTTCCCTCCTTGACTTTCCATTTGACTCTAAACCGTTTATATTGGTCAAAATTTGTTATATTTTAGTGAAGTTAAGTGTATTAGAAATCCATCAGAATTGGTACAGAGCTTGGCCTAAAGTTTAGATTCCAACCCCATTTTATTAAATTTAACACCTTTTTTTGACATATATCTTATTTGAGTTAATACAAAATTAAAATAATGAAATTAAGTTTATGACCCATAACA